AACCTGGAAGTCATCATTCTCAGCAAACTGACACAGGAGCAGAAAATCAAACACCGCATGTTCTCACTCATAGGCGGGTGTTGAACAATGAGAACACATGGACACAGGGAGGGGAGCACTACACACTGGGGTCTGTTGGAGGGAAAAAGGGAAATAGGGGAGGGCCAGTGGGGGGTGGGGAGTTGGGGGGGGATGGTATGAGGAGAAATGCCAGATATAGGTGATGGGGAGGAAGGCAGCAAATCACACTGCCACGTGTGTACCTGTGCAACAGTCTTGCATGTTCATCACATGTACCCCAAAGCCTAAAATGCAATAAAAAAAAGAAATAGAAAAAAAGAAAAACAATATTAAAGTATATATGGAACTACAAAAGACCCAGAAGAGCCAAAGCTAACCAAAACAGAAAGAACTGAAGGAGTGACATTAACTTACTTCAAATTATACTTAGGAGCTACAGTAACCAAAACAGCATAATAGTGGTATGAAAACAGATACATAGTCCAATGGAACAGAACAGAGAACTCAGAAACAAATGGACACAGCTACAGTGACTTCGTTTTTGACAAAGGTGCCCAGAACATACACTGGGGAAAAGACAGACTCTTCAATAAATTGTTCTGGGAAAACTGGATATCTATATGCAGAAGAATGAAACTAGACCCTGTCTCTTGCCATATATGAAAAGCATATGGTATAAAGACTTAAATCTAAGACCTCAAACTATGAAACTACCAGAAGAAAACACTGGGCAAATTCTCCAGGACACTGATCTGGACCAAAGTTTCTTGAACAATACCCTGTAAGCACAGGCAACTAAAGCAAAAATGGACAAATGGGATTACAAGTTAAACAGCTTCTGCATGGCAAAGGATACAATCAACAAAGTGAAGAGAAAACCTACAGAATGGGAGACAATATTTGCAAACTACCCACCTGACAAAGGATTAATAACCCAAATATATAAGGAGCTGAAACAATCTCACAGAAAAAAGTCTAATAATCTAATCAAAAAATGGGCAAAATATTTGAATAGATATTTATCAAAAGAAGACATACAAATGGCAAACAGGCATATGCAAAGGTGCTCAAAATCATGGATCATCAGAGAAATGCAAATCAAAACTGCAATAAGCTATCACCCCTGTTAAAATGGCTTATATTCGAAAACTGACAATAACAAATGCTTGTGAGGATATGGAGAAAGCAGAATCCTTGTACGCTGTTGGTGGGAATGTAAATTAGTACAACCACTATGGAGAAAAGTTTGGAGGTTCCCCAAAAAACCAAAAATTGAGCAACCATATGATACAGCCATCCCACTGCTGGGTATAAACCTAAACAAAAGGACACCGGTATATCAAAGAGATATCTGCACTCCTATGTTGCAGCACTGTTTACAATAGATAAGGTTTGGAAGCAACCTAAGTGTCCATTAACACATGGGTCCCAACCCCTGGATGTGAACTGATACCAGTATATTTCCTGTTAGGAACCGACTGCACAACAGGAGGTGATCAGCGGGTGAACAAGCATGAAGGCCAGAGCTCTGCCTCCTGTCAGATCAGTGGTGGCATTAGATTCTTATAGGAGCTGGAACCCTATTGTGAACTTCACATGTGAGGAATCTAGGCTGCACACTCCTTATGAGAATCTAACCAATGCCTGATGATATGAGGTAGAATAGTTTCATCTGTAAATTATACCCCAACACCACCTCATCCATGGAAAACTGTCTTCCCCACAACCACTCCTGATGTCAAAAATGTTGGGGACTGCCGCATTAACAGATGAATGGATAAAGAAAATGTGGTATATATTTTTATGGTATTTGGTCATTAAAAAGAATAAGATCCTGCCGTTTGCCACAACATGGATAAAACTGGAGATCACTATGTTAAGTAAAATAAGCCAGGCACAGAAAGACAAACATCGCATGTTCTCGCTTATTTGTGGAATCTAAAAATCAAAACGATTGAACTCATGAACATAGAGAGTTAAAGGATGGTTACCAGAAGCTGGGAAGGATAATGTGGGGCTGGGGAGATGGGAGGGATGCTTAATATGAATAAAAACAATAGTTAGAGGGCTGGAGGGCAAGGGGTATGGTTAAGGGGCACAAAAAAATAGAAAGAATGAGTAAGACCTACTATTCAATAGCACAATATGGTGACTATACTCAATAGTAACTTAATTGGACATTTTAAAGGAACTTGAAATAACTTAAAGAGTAAAATTAGATTGCTTGTAACACAAAGGATAAATCTTGAGCAGATGGTTACCCCATTCTCCTTGAAGTGATTATTTTACATTGCATGCCCGTATCAAGATATGTAATGTAGCCCGTAAGTATATACACCTACCATGTACCAGCAAAAATTAAAAATTGAATTTTAAATTAAAAACTTAAAAATATTAGAGATGACAGTTGCACAATACTGTGAATGTACTAAATACCATTGAATTGTATACTTATGATAGTTAAGTATCTGTTATGTAGGTTTCACTTTGTTAAAAAGTTATTCCCTAGAATTGGAGTTATGGTTAGAAGCATTATATAAATGCCAAAAGAAATATATTAAGTAAATTACAGAATGAACTATTACATATGGGCATGAAAATATGTTGGAAAACATATCAAAAATAATTTTCATAAAAGTAAAAAAAACACAATTTTATATTAAATGCATGACAGTTTACAGAGACACACAAATTGTAATGTGAATGAAAAATTGCAGAGTATATTTTTTCTTAAAATTGTGAAATCAATACAGCAAAACACATAATCCATCTGAAACATGCACTTTCTCCAATAAAACTTACAGCTAAAGAAAATTCAGTGGTAAAAAACTTCAGAAAGAGCATGTCTTGAAAACCACTGTCTTTTTATTTAAGAAACAAAATTTAAAAACACTATGACTCTAGGATGTAGACTCTAAATTTTGTGGATTCCACTTGGCCATAATTACTGCACCTTATGTATCCACTGGACAGAGCACTAAGCTGTGTCTTTTATCTGAGAACAAATGGATCTTCCTGGTCCATATTAACAGAACTCCTGCATTAACAGTTAAGAGCAGGGTTTAGGAATGAGATATTTTCTTGTTCTAACTAGCAATATAATCTTGGGTATTTTAGATAATTTATTTGTGCATTAAATATTTGTGTTCACATGTAAAATGAGGATCAAAGTAATACCATACCGTTTTTGTAAGTCTAATATAAAATAATGACAATAAAGCTATTAGGACAGTGCCTAGAATATAAAAAATGCTAAATGTCAGCTATTGCATCTATGTTAGAGCTTCAAATGGATCAGATCACTGCATATCACAAAACTTCCATTCACTTATCTTTATTTGCCACCCAACATACTACAGTAGGCCCTCCTTACCCCTGGGTTCCATATCCATGAACTCAACCAAAAGCCGATCAAAAATATTCAGAAAAACAATTCCACAAAATCCAAAACACAAAATTTTAACTTGCCATGCACCAAGTATACTTTGAATCCATGTGAATAAAGTGAAATGTAGGCATTGTATTAGGAATTATAACTAAAGATGATTTGAAGTATACAGGAGGAGATGCATCAGTTATATAAAAATACTACACCAGTCTATATAAGGTACTTCACCACCTACAGATGTTGGTATACAGGAAGGGTCTTGGAATTAATTCACATGGATACCAAGATACAACTGTATTATCTGCACAATTGTGTTGACTCAAAGGTTGAATCAGTTCATCACTAGCCATGAGTCTCAACTCTGAGTGCGTAGGAGAGTCACTTGGTAAACATTTTAAAAGAACCATTACCCAAGAATCACCCTACAACTACAACCCAGATAATGATTTAATTGTTTTAGAAAGTAGTTGAGATATCCATATTTCTAAAAGCTTTCCAGCTGTTAAAAAAAATTATTTAACCAGAGTCAGGCTCCACTCCCTCTTTAAAAATTCCTCACATTTTCATAGCAAAAACCATTTTTCTGTGGGTGCCATATAGGCAAACTCCATTTAGAGATGATAGATTAAAAATTTTAAAGGCAAGTTCCAATCTAGAGACAAAGAAGGATTTTTATTAAATTCCACTTTAAAAGGAGATTTTATTTAAAAGCCAAATATTCTCTGCAAAGTAGAAGAAAGAAGTGGAAGAATAGACAGGAAGATGGAGAAAAGCAGGGTTTAATAAACAAGAATGTGATGATGATGGTTAGCCTTTATAATGCTCTTTTTATGTGCTTCAATTCCTAAGGCCTATATTACATATGATATCATCTGATCTTTACAACAACTCAATGAATTATTATCATCTCCATTTTATATACAGGAAAAATGAGACACTGAGAGGTTAATGAACCAAGGTCATACATTTGAACAGTGACAGAGTTGGGATTTCAACCCAGAATTGGTTCCAAACCCATACTCTCTTAAATACTATTCTATGCTACCACCCGGTGCAATAAGAATCTTACCTGATGTAAGGTGTACACATTTACCCTTTAATTATTTCTTATTTCTAAAGTCATAACAATAATCTACTTTTTATTTTTTAAAAACTATCAGCAATGATTATTTTTGAGTAGTGAGGAGGTAATTTTTCTTTTATTTCTCTGCATTTGTTAAATTACAATAATAAACATACATTCATTTTGAAATAAAAGTAATATTTTCGAAGTAAGCGTATCATAGAATTCTTACAGTTCACAGTGCTAATAAATACATATTACCTTAGAAAACATAGTAAAACTGAATAAAAAATTTTCTATAGTAATATATATTCCCCACAACAGGTGCTGCTTTCTTAATTATCTTTACCTTAGTAAAAATACACTAAAATTTGCTTAAAAGAAACTTACCTGTGCACTGTCCTCCATTGGTTGGATCTCCATAATAACCTGGCATACAATCTTGACACTGCTTTCCTGTGGTTAGATTTTTACACTGTTCGCACACATTATTATTGATGCAAGTGCTATGTCCATTACACTGGCAAGCTAAAGAAAACAGTAAAAAGTATTACAAATATCTAACATAAAATC